GATTACCTATAAAAATTAAGCGCTTTTTCGCGTAATCCTAATTTGAAGTCTCGTTCCCCAAAATAACCCGACGAGGTAGCCATGGCGAGTCTACCATCAAAAACTAGTTTAAAAAGAAGTGTTTACTTATAAGTGTTTTACCTTCTTATCCAGCAACAGGTGCAGGTCCATTGGGTAGCCGTTGTTTGTGCGAATGGAACAAACTTTCTTCCGATAATCATTGTTCGCTAGGAAAGCTGTTATGATGTGACGAGACGGTTATTTCTTGATTTTTGTATTTGGAAAATGTCCTATCGCATTTTTTCAGCCCTACCGTAGACCATTGAATTAATTCTGGTGGTTGCTGGTTGCTTTCACTGTGTACTATCAACAGTAAGATTAACGTCTTTATCTGCATCCGTTACGTTTCAGAGTATTTCTTCATTGATGTATGTGCTCAGGAAAATCTCTTTTCGGTAAGCGGTCCTGACAGGACCAAATACGACGGACATCTGGCATCTTTTCGCTGAGGTGTGTTTTTTTTGCACAGAATATAATGACGGTTCTGTTGGGCAAACTGAGTGGTTTTCGAACGATTCACCTGTTCTCTGTGTTGAGAAGCGCACATGTAACACAGTGGTTAGAGGTGCCTGCAATATACACCTGGTTTTCGGTTCGACTCCACTGCTTCCATAACAAACCAAGGCCTCCATCCTTTCAGGATTGATAGAGGGACACCAGACTCTGCCTAGGAGAACAAAAATACTGACCTGAGGCAATCATTGGGTTCCGAAAATTCATGTATAATCCAAATATTCATTCAATCACCTCTACGGTGCTGAGTGAAGTTGTGTGCATGCGAATAGCTAAGGGATTGATCAACGCCGAACGTTCTATCATCTTTTTTATCCATGATGAACTTTGTATGTTATGAAGAACAGCATTCTTCACATCGTTTACATTGTATCTCATCATATCATCGTTTATATTGAATGTAGCCATTTCAACCTTTAACTGGATCGTGAGCTTATCCAGCTGCGAAATCATATTTTTCCAACTAATTGGCGCACCTCGAGACATAATGTGGTCGATCGCTTTTAGATTAATGGAGAAATTCCTGTTCTTTTCGAAAAATCATTAGTAAAATCCCGGTTAGAGTTTTTTGATCGGTTCGGTTTTATATTTTCTTCGTTCGACGCTTCATGTGATGCAGTGTTTTTCGTTGAATGGGAAAGTGAATAGTGCGGAAAATTCACTAACAAATTTCCTCCTACCACGGAAACATTGTCAGATATTACTGGAACGGTTTTGAGCTGCCTGCTATTAATCTACTACCTAAAAACACCACGGATTAATGCTAACGGGTCTAAGTCCTTCTACTTATCTTTCTAAATCTTGGATCAGATGTTAGTAGGGCAGCATTTGTTTGTATGTTTCGGGTTAATAAATCATTTTAAAGGATTCGGTTTTCGTGAAATTGTACTAGAAATCGAATTTTTCGGGTGTACAGATTTGTTTCCTTGGTTATCACCATTTCTGCTCTTTTGAATTCTTATCGTTATTCTAAATGTGTAGGGCGCGTGTGGCGCAGTGATTGGAGGCGCCACTGCGACACACGTGGAATCGATTTCCGCGCCCATGGCCCAACAAGCCTTGCATTCCTCCGGGGTCGGCAAATTGGTACCAGACTTGCCTGGGAAGATGGCAGCACTGGCTTGATACATCGGTAGGCCACCGCGAGTCATTGTGAAGACCAGGTTTGCATTCAGTGACCTCTAAGAAGTCGAATGCACGACCCATCCCTCAGGGATTGATCAGCGCTGAGAGCTTTATCCTTTATCCTTCATAGTAGATGTGCATGAATGTAAGTCACCAAGCTAATGATTCGTTGTCCTTCTTTTTTCATGATGAGGTTTCGCTCGCTACCATTCATTGCGAAGTATTCTTTTTTTGGAACGTGTGAATATAAATTCGCTTGTTTCCCTCAATTTATTTAAGTTTTTATGTTCTAGGTAATTTATTTGTTGTGTTTTATCACGTTGGCATGCGTACTGTTTTATATAAAAGTGCCCTGAGACTAGCTCTTGATCGTCGCTTCTATCCAACTCCTGGACCAACTAAACGATCCCTCTTTCTGTGTTGTACCAATTGGTTCCAAATCTGTTTGAGAGGATAAATAACACTGACTATATGCCACGACCGACTTTCTATTAACCTCGACATTGATCAAGTGATTTTCTTCGTATTTACCTAAATACCCAGATGTTTCTGGATCGTCTACATGCTGCGCAGCCCAACAGCGCGTGCGTGATGGAGTCCTTCGACGTTACCGCCCTTTATACAAACGTGTCGAATGACTCCGCAATGCAAGCCATATTCGAACTCCTTACACAACACGAAGGAGAAATAAACATGTATGGCTTCAGGATAGAGCACCTGATGGTACTCTTAAAAGAATGCTTGAGCTGCTCAATCTTCAGATGGTCTGGAAAGTACTACACTCAAATAAGAGGGTTGGCAATGGGACAACGACTGACTCCAAGCCTTGCCATTGCATTTATGTCTAAGGTGGAAGCACCGGTGACTGATCTCGGGCCGCTACTCTACTGTAGGTATGTAGACGACTGCTTTGTCCTTTGCTCAACACAAGAGGAAATGGACAAATGCTTCGAATTGTTAAACGCACAGTCAGAGTATATCAAGTTCACCCGAGAAAAGCCGAAAGAAAAATGGCTTCCATTTTTGAACGTACAAATTCACCTATCAGAAAATGGCTACATTACAAAGTGGTACCGAAAGCCAAGTAGTAAAATATCTTGGTTCATTACCTCTCCTCTCACCCCTCTCACACGAAAAGGGCGCTTATAAGAAACATGTTTCAAACAGCAACCAACGTGTGCACGGGAAGAGAGCAGAGAGAGGAGTCCCGGAACTTGGCACGGCAAATAGCCGTTTCTAATGGCTACGAAACTATAGCTCAGAATAGGTGTAGAAGAAATCGTAG